CATAATCCGTCAGATTACTCTTAACCACTTGTAATGACACACAATCTATCACATGACTCTTAACCACTTGTAATGACACACAATCTATCACATTACTCTTAACCACTTGTAATGACACATAATCCGTCAGATTACTCTTAACCACTTGTAATGACACACAATCTATCACATGACTCTTAACCACTTGTAATTACACACAATCTATCACATGACTCTTAACCACTTGTAATGACACACAATCTATCACATGACTCTTAACCACTTGTAATGACACATGATCTATCACATGACATATCTACATCCTATAGAATTTTCACGACTTTTGACCATGAATAATAATGTATATACTACACTACATAATATTGTACAATATAATCATGTGTTATTTATAGGCCCTATATAAACATTCCTATATTAACTATTTCAAGACAATAAAGAATGTACAACACAAATAATTTCTTAAAGTTACTTGTTTTGTATTAGTGCGTTGTGCCCTGTAAAACACTAGAAGTAAATACGTACCCATCCGAGTATCATTATAGAAATCGTATTCAGAAGAGTGGCTATTACAGTACCATGGATTGTTTTACATTTAGCATCTTCTCCACACCACGAGATATTGCTGTACACCCGATAAAGAATGACTGAAGTGACGCTAATTATAACCAAAAACATCTGCAAATTAAAAATTCTACGTCAACAAAAAAAAAAGAAAATATTTGTTTTCGCATAAACATGAATGGAACAGAAAACAAAACGTTTTTTGTCACACAAATAGTAATTATTTTCGAAACAGAAAGTACATTTGAAAATGGAATAAGGTTAGTAGAATATTTTTATTAATTGACTCTAAGCCTATAACTTCAAGACTATCAGATTCTGGGCACCATTCTGAAAGCATTCAGTACAAAAAATTGTAATCTAAGCCTATAAATTCAAGACTATCATATTCTGGGCACCATTCTGAAAACACTCAGTACAAAAAATTTTAATCTAAGCCTATAACTTCAAGGCTATCAGATTTTGGGCACCATTCTGAAAGCACTCAGTACAAAAAATTGTAATATTTTTTGTTTCACACGATTAACTGTACATACATGTATATGTTTATATTGGGCTAAAAATAAGAAGGTAAGTCATCAATACGAGTACAGACAGGGGCACACAACAAACAAATAACAGACCTACCGTCAATACGAATGTATTGATGGTAGGTCTGTTATTTGTTTGTCCACGTCTGTACATTGATGGTAGGTCTGTTATTTGTTTGTCCACGTCTGTACTCCACGTCTGTACTCTTATTTGTGGTAGGTCTGTTATTTTCAATACGAATACAGACATGGGCACACAACAAACAAATAACAGACCTACCATCAATACAAGTACAGACGTGGACAAACAAATAACAGACCCATCATCAATACGAGTACAGACGTGGACAAACAAATAACAGACCTACCACCAATACAAGTACAGACGTGGACAAACAAATAACAGACCTACCATCAATACGAGTACAGACATGGGCACACAACAAACAAATAACAGACCTACCACCAATACAAGTACAGACGTGGACAAACAAATAACAGACCTACCACCAATACAAGTACAGACGTGGACAAACAAATAACAGACCTACCATCAATAAGAGTACAAACGTGGACAAATAAATAACAGATCCATCATCAATACGAGTACAGACGTGGACAAACAAATAACAGACCTACCATCAATAAGAGTACAAACGTGGACAAACAAATAACAGATCCATCATCAATACGAGTACAGACGTGGACAAACAAATAACAGACCTACCATCAATAAGAGTACAGACGTGGACACAGAGTACTTCAGCATACGATAGGACATCGGATACATCCACACCAACTTTCCTGTGTACCTGTCCTCCTCGGCCTTTGTCCCGTAGAACTGAGGACGGTCCGGTTCAGCCATGTCAAAATGGTCAACTTGCCACTTATACGAGAGTGTCGCCTGCTTTCGTTTCCAAACCTCTAAAAATATTGTGCCTGGAAAAACACACGAAGATCAATATTTATTTTGGTTGCTTTGAAAATCATTGAATCACAGGAAAATAGTTCAGTTATTAAATTTGATTTCAATCTAAAATAATGTTATTATCAGTTTGTAGTAAAAATTAAATATACAGTGTTGACATTGTCATAAAAACATGAATTTTTGTACAAATTATACAAATATCGAAAATTACAAAATTATTTACTGCATGTGTCGCCCCCTGCTGACAATTTTTCGAAATTAGTTATAAAGCCTTAAAATCTAATGAAATAATTGTTATTTTCCAAGAATTATTATACAAGTCACATACGAAAATTATTAATTAAATTTTGGAGTAAAAAATAAAAACTTTTTAGAATTAAGAAAAACAAACTATTATTTTGTAACTAAGAAAACAAGAAAAGAATAACTGACCCCAAACACAGATCGCAAAAGCGAAGTATGGTGTTAAGATGTTATCACTCGCATTCTTGATGATCTCAATCGAATTCATGACCAAATTCTTTTTTGCTCTGTAAAACATATTATTGTTCTGTTAGTAAGAATCACGAAAAAAAAACACAAAATAATTAAAACATGATTTTAAATACTAGCTAAAAATTTGGACTTTATTAAAAACTGTAATGTGTTAGTTAAATAAATATTAATTTGTTTGTTTCGACTGGTCGAACAAAGCTATGCTAGTCCTCCCCAATTGTAAACTTGATTTATTCTTATTTAACTGTTACTCGTATTCAATTTGGCGGCACGAAGCCGCGAACCACGAACTCTTGGATTCATAGTCACAGTGGCTATCAACTTGGCCACACCCGGATGATATGACAAAATTTAAATGATTATCAGGTTTAGTAAAAAGTCGGATATCGCTTCAGATTCTAGCCTACTAAGATCTTGCTGTTAGTGTAGAACCAAGTTTAGTAGATTTTAACCTGACATGCTGTTAGTGTACAACCAAATTTAGTAGATTTTAACCTGACATGCTGTTAAAGTACAACCAAATTTAGTAGATTTTAACCTGACATGCTGTTAGTGTACAACCAAATTTAGTAGATTTTAACCTGACATGCTGTTAGTGTACAACCAAATTTAGTAGATTTTAACCTGACATGCTGTTAGTGTAGAATAATTTAGTAGATTTTAACCTGACACGCTGTTAGTGTAGAACCAAGTTTAGTAGATTTTAACCTGACATGCTGTTAGTGTAGAACCAAGTTTAGTAGATTTTAACTAAACTATACCTACTGTGTGTTATTATGTAACTACAATGCATTGTAACCATACTATACCTACTATAAATACATTGTATTATTATTGTACTATAACTACCATGTATTATTATTGTACTATAAATACCTTGTATTATTATTGTACTATAAATACCTTGTATTATTATTGTACTATAACTACTTTGTATTATTATTGTACTATAAATACTGTGTATTATTATTATTGTACTATAAATACCTTGTATTATTATTGTACTATAAATACTGTGTATTATTATTGTACTATAACTACATTGTATTATTATTGTACTACAACTACCGTGTATTATTATTGTACTACAACTACCGTGTATTATTATTGTACTATAACTACCTTGTATTATTATTGTACTATAACTACATTGTATTATTATTGTACTATAACTACATTGTATTATTATTGTACTATAAATACCGTGTATTATTATTGTACTACAACTACTGTGTATTATTATTGTACTATAAATACCTTGTATTATTATTGTACTATAAATACCATGTATTATTATTGTACTATAAATACCTTGTATTATTATTGTACT